TATCATTGTGTGGCATGTTTTATTTGGTTCACCTACATGGATAATGGACACTGCTGTTGCATTGTGAACAACTTTAACCATATTTATAATACGTTGTTGTTGCTGCTGCTGCTGCTGCTGCTGAGCATTAAAAACACAATAAACCCTGTGCTCACTGCTTTTGTGTTCCATTGCGGAAGAAAGGAATTATAATGTAATAACTAAACAAAAATAATGCATGTGGTATCTCTCACCCACATAATTGTCTTTCATTTGTGACCCAACAACTGTTAAGACAACAGTTGACTCTGACTTGAGAATGGGATCAGCCAGGCTTCCAGAAGATGGCAAAAATCAGCTCTTTGTGCTTCTCCTCTACTTTGCTTTGGGTCAAGCATCCAAGCAACTGAGATGCCTGGTCTAAGCTGAATGCCCAGGTGCTCATGAAGCGAAGGCAGCTCTGCACTTTTGCCTAGCTCCGTGGTTGTCATGGAACGCTCTGCGCTCTATGCCAGGTCCAAAGAGGAGGACCCTGGGGAGGGCCTCAGCGGGACCTGGGGGGATTATGGGGCACCCTCCCCAAGTGATCAGAGAGAGAGAGAGAGACCAGGGGCAAATGGGAGCAACAGAGCCGATCAGGATGGAGGTGAACCCCTAGCACCTCTTTCCCCGTTGCCTGTCAAGGAGGGAGGAGTCACGCTGGTTGCTCTGGCGATGCAGTGGACGTCTGGCAGCACATGAGCATCAGCCCAATGACACTGAAAGTTGAGAGCAGGTGGGAAAGACTGACTCAGTCCTTTAGTGCCATGTGCCAGGCAGGTGGGTGGGCAAGCTGCAGGTGAGGGGTGTGCAACTCCCACACCTGTACTCCCTTAGGCGCAAGGCACACCTGGTAGTGGGAGGGATCCTTAAGGCATGAGGAGGCTGAGCACCCTTGTTGTTGACACAACTTCCCTGGGTGGACGTTTGGGAAAGGAGTTGCGTGAGGACCAAGAGCGATGGAAGGCAGCAGGGACCTGTTGGAAGAAGGTGAAGGAGCAATGTCTGGGGGAGAGCTGTGTCAGAGGGAAGAGCAGCAGACATCAAGAGGACGGAAAGAGAAGGGCTGCAGGCCACCAGGTCGGGCTAGGGGCTCTTGAACTCTGGATGGTGGACTACTATTTGAGGGACATGCTCCCTGAGCACACCCCAACCCCACGGCACAACGGCGACACTGGAGACAAGCCAACTCCCCGAGATATGAGGTGCTCCTTGAAAGCCACATACCCAAGGACTGACTCAAATGATGCAATGATATCAGATAGCAAGGAGAACAAGGAAAACAAGGAGAATACTTCAGGGGATGAAGTATGTCAGGGAAAGACACAAAATCAGAGCAGCCATTAACAAGAAAGACATGGGTGAGTGCATCCATAAGCTCATTCTGCAATTGACTAGCGACAAAAACAAAAAAGGAAAGCAATGCTTTGATTGTCATATGCTGTTCATTGCTCACTTCAACATGATTCTGCACTTCACATACGCTGCTGCTAATTCCCACCCCCCTTGCTTTTAAGAAGGCTGTTGTTGTTGTTTCTGTAAGGGCACATTCCAATTCATTGCTCTCTGCTGCCACACTTGATTTTAAAGACTCTTGCTGGCTCCCCCTCCTTGAAAATGATGATGGCACTCTGCAGCTCCAGAGAGGCAAGGCAAGGGGCTCGTGCATTCATTTCTCTAAGTATGCAGCAATGGCACTTCTAGTTTCACTTAGTTTTAAACTATGGAACTCAGTCCCATGGGAGGCGGTGGAGGCCACCAATTCTGATAGCTTTAGAACAGTATTAGACAAATTCATGGAAGAGAGAGCTATTGATGGCTATGCTCTGCCACCACACTTGGAGGCAGCAATGTTTTTGAATACCATTTGCTGGAAACCACATGAGGTTTGCACTCAAATCCTGCTTGATGGTTTCTCAGAGGTATCTGGTTGGCCGCTGTGAGAACAGGATGCTGGACTAGATGGGCCCCTGGGCTCATCCACCAAGCTCATCTTATATTCTTAATAAAGCAGAAGTGCAAGCCACAGAAAATGTAAGCATCTCTACCTCCTTTTTCTCTATGGCTTTTTCAGCCACATAGGCACATTTCAACAGGTACAAAAGAGCAGAAACCAAAAAATCCCCCCCCCCAAATTAAGGCTTGGTACCAACGTGCCTCCTCGTGTCTTCAGATAAGCCCATCCCAATTAAATATTTAGAGGGCAAATGGATTTCATTTTTATATTTTGGCCTAGGGAAGAGGAGTACATCAAAAAAGACCAATTCATTTGGAGGAAAAGAAAGAAGACAACTAAGGAAATTAAACAGACACTGGTTTGGTAAAGATGAAAATCCTTCAAATGTAAAGTTTGCAGATGAAAAAGGAAGTGACACTGCTTACTGGCAAGACCATTTATATGAGAAACCAAGAACTGCAAAGGAGGTGCAAGGAGATTCAGAAAAATGCTTTGTATGTATTTTTTAAACCATCACCGTAGCCAAGTAACATGCAAGACTCATTTAAAAAAACCACAGCTGGGAGACTCTCACATCACAGTATTTGAACAGACGTACTAGACACACAGCATGTGACACGCTGGGCAGTTACCAAAGGTGAAAATTGAGTTGCACTACCAAATATACAGCAATAATTTAAGGTTTGCACCTGATGCAGAGCACCATGATGATCCCTTGTCGAAATGTGCACTTCCTCCTCAGGCTTCATAACTAAATCTGTTCAATCAACCCTTCACACATTCCCTTTGCACATGAGTGCATTCAGTTTATTTGCAGCACAGCTTAAGACCACACCATTAGAGTAAAGTTTATTTAAAACCACGTTTAAAAAGACACTATGAAGACACCAGAGCCTCTTGGGGGAGGCCATTCCATGACCACATGATTCTTTATGCTCCTCCTTGATCAGTCATGTCTTCTTCTGGGGAAGTTTGATGGCTCCTGTGGAATTCCTTAACAATAGAAGTTCAGCAAGAGCCATCCCTCCTCATTTCTAGAAGTCTTCTTAAAATTGTATTATTCAGACAGGTGTTTCAAAACAGAGATTCTTTGCCAACCAGTTCTTACCGTGTGCTTGATGATGTTTTCATTGAAATGCATACTGTTGTTTTTGGTCTGTATAACCCCTTGCAATATTTTATATGAAAAGGCCGTTTATAACTATTTAAATAAATAAATACATCTTTCAGGTAACGTTGTCCCAAGGCGTTTAGAAATGTAAAGAAATCCAGCATTGAAAATGGGGTCCAGAAATGTATTGTCAGGGAACTGCCATCGGAAGGACAGGAGGTGGAAGGGCTCACAGAGGTTGAGAGAGACTTAGCAGCTGAAGAGGGAACCAGCAGGGGGAGAGAAGGAGCTCCAAGGGAAAGTGAGTCGGAGGGATGGCTCAGGGACACTTCCAGCGAAAATAGTGGGGGAGGTTTCAGGACCTCCTATAGGGACACCCACTCCTCGCCGGAAACTGTCGCGCAGAGAGTCCAGAAGACGTGTTTCCGTTAAGGAGCTTTTAAGAAGAGATTCCGTAAGCGCCCACTGTCGGACTCTGCTAGCGACTGACGGAGCCATGCTTGAGGGGCTCCGTCGTAGGCAGAGGTTTGCGGACTTGGCCAAACTCTGAGGGACTAGGATTTTACGCACAAGCAGCTCATCATCCCATCACATGTATGTGTGCATGTACAATGACTGCACACATGTAGACAGAAAGACAGACAGATATATATACATAAATGTGTGTGCGTGCACACATATAAGTATGGATTTTTTTAAAAAAGTAAAATGGCTAGATTCTACTATTCAGGAATCACTGCTCCTTTTTTCATAATCTGAGGGCTGAGAATTATAAATGGGGGCTCTCTTTATTCAGATGAAGTGCATTTTTACTTTGAGATTTCATTACTATGTACTTCTGGATATTAAAAATACTAACAATTAGCATCCTTGTTTTGGCTCTGCAGTCATTGCGATGGCAGTTCTTATGCAAATAGGACAGTCTGTCTGCAGAAGTGCAAATCTTGGAATTGTGGATGCACTGTAATTATGATTCAAGTCTAGATCTCTCTGAGGGAGGTTCTGTCCTTTTTCTGCATTGCTAAAACTCAACTTTCAAGTCAACTGATGTATATGGAGAATCATTACTAGACATTTAAAATAGAAGAGCCGTTTGCTATTATGGATTTTGACAGGCATCTTTTGCAGTAGCTTGTCTCATTGTTCAACTCCTATTTCAGCAAGGAGGCTTGCTCCTCAGTAGAAATGAGATTATTCTTTCTAGAGAGGAGTACGCATAGTTATGCAAAACAAAAACAAAAAATGAGAAGCCTTTTCTGTATGTTTTTCATGGTTGTTGCACATTTCAATGTGGATGTTCTCAGTGCACATTTCCCACATTCAAGGATAAGGTATGTTTTACCTGCTTCTTGTTTCAGACTTTGGGGGCTGAAAGGTACGTCTATGTGAATCACTTGTAAGGGTGGTGAAATTGTAATTGCTATTTATAAATCCGTTTTTATACCACTTTCCTTGTTTTGGGGAATCCTGTGATTTTGTCTGTTGTTTCTAATGCTCTTGAGGACCTTCTCCTTTGTTTTAGGACCACAAGGAAAAACTGAAGGTTGGAGACACCCCCACCCACACCGGCTGCAAACTCTGTTTTGTTTTCTTTTTGTTGACAGCATGGGCCACAAAAGCTAATTAAGCAAGCAACTAGCTCTCCTCACAGCCACAACCTTCCAAGAACGCCAACAAAGGAAATGTCTGGAAAAGGGACATGTTGCAACACGTCCCAAGTTAGCAACATGCCACTGAGTCTGCTGGACTGGAAGAAACTCTTAGGGCAGATACTTGCCGCAGGCCTTAGCCACGGTGGTGGCAAAAAGCGACCTGTGACTTTTCACAGCACCCAGGCACACACCAATTTTCTTTCGCCTCAGTCCTTCCCCTCTCCCTCCCTTCCTCCCTCTTAAGAATGGACTGTTCGCTTACTGCAGCCGTCTTCATCACTGTGGTCCCCGCAGTCATTGTCACCGTCGCACTGCCACTGAGCAGGGATGCAAGTGCATTCACCAAAAGCACTAACAGCACAGGTGAAGTGGTTTCGTCCACAAGCGCACTCTGCGCTGCTGCTGCTGTCTGCACCTGCAGGGAGAAAATAATTGACACGCTTTAGAGGTAAGAAAAAGCAAGGGACACCTAACATCACGTTAATGTCCATGAATGCAGTGCAAAATGACACTGGGAATATTCCTATGAACCACACACACTCCCAGCATTCCACTGTGTGTTAAGATTCCCGAGATGCAACAGACTGGAAGCAACGACTGAAAAGCCATCATTCAGGGGGGAAATCTAAGGGTTGGTTCCACGGCCAAATATCTGGAGCAGCTTACAGCAATATCCTATTTACAACGCCTCCATCTCCCCATCACCACCACATATATGCATGGATCCCATATTTGGGCAATTCCCAGAGTGCTTGGCAGATATATGAGGACTTAAATAAAGTAGGGAAGCCTGCAGGTTTTTATAGGCTTTCTAACTGTTTACTCTCATCCCTTGATTCCAGAAAGGGGATAAGCAGAAGGATATTCCACAAAACCACAGTGCACACATGCCATCATTTCTGCTTCATAAAAAAAGGCAGCCGCTCCTCAGCCAGCATTGTCATGTGCTGATTTCCATTTTTTCCTTCACCTTCTCACAGCTGAAATGCTCACAGACTTATAGTGATATTATAATGATACTGTACCTGAAATAGGAGATATGTCCAAGGTACGTGGTCATATCAAGAATAGAAACAAGGAAGTAGCGACAAACGGACTGAGTGAAGTCAAACTCTTTGCAAGTAAGTTCTGCCTCTAAAAATAGGACACGTGTGATAACTCACTCATGTGTTTCAGAAACCCAGAACAGGATCCATGCCTCTGATTATGACCCTCTCAGCGTCTCATGTTCCATCCCTGGTCAACTAAGGAGATTCGGAAATGAGCAGGAAGTCAGGGCACCTGCCTATTAGGCAAGCAAAGCAGTGCTTAAGGGGATAAAATATACGCTTCTCGTAATCAAGTCAAAATGTTTCTGCTGCTGTTTGGGCTGATGCAGACTTTAAATCCGGTAACAGCTATGGTATCTCTTCTAAGTGCAAAGTATTTCTCTAGAATCTTTCATGTTGTCAGAGGGAAAAGCAATTTACCCAACGTTTGTCCAAAAATTGTATCACCTTTCTTAGAGACAAGGAAGAAGATATTTCACCCCTTACTCCGAAGAAGGGGGTCTGCTTCCCACAACCTTCCATTAATTCTCTACTGATGCTATCAATCAGCCATCATTACAGCAAGATAATATTGCTGGCTCTTCATTAACATGCCATTGCTCTACATTCTTTGGAGAACTGCTTCATTTAGGAAGCTTAACAATTGAGGAAGGCTGTACTTTTACACACATGCTAGTTAGCAGGACTTTGATCTGAAGGGATATTCTTTCCATAAATGAACTTCAGAAGCAAATGGCTACTATTCCTTCGCTTGTCACTTGAAGCAGTGATTTTTAACCTCAAGTAGCAGTTTCCCACTGAAGAAAAGTACAGTTAATCCAGTCTTAATAGAGGGATTTGCTGACCCATTGTTTTAACTGAGAACTTTTCTGTCAGAAACTGGGAAGGCCACACTGCACTCATATGTTCTGATGACAGAAGAAACATCGCTCACTGATACAGTCCACAAAGATCTGTTAACACAGCATAAGAAGCAGAACTAATTTCAACCAGGGGTCCAACACCTGACCAGAATCCCACCTACTTAGAAGTATAGCTATGTAATGTGGTATTGTAGGTCACCAATTTTACAGGTATCAAGGTCCACTAGCTCAGTATCATGCTCCATGGGCACCTTTGAAAGATGGCACAGTCCAAGCTTAATTACAGTATCTCTGTCATAAGATATTCTTTGATTGATTGGTTGCATTTCTATCCCACCTTTCCTCCAAGTTGCTCACGGTGGCATACATGGCGCTCCATATTATCCACACAACAGCTCTGAGACAGGTCAGGCTGAGAGTTGATGACAGGCCCAACTGAGCTTCATGGCTGAGTGGGGATTTAAACTCCTGGTCTGCCATTCACAGGACACCCAAGGAGATGTTGAGTTTAAAGTTTATGTGTGGTGTTGTTGTTAAACATAAATGTTTACTCCACCATTTCTGAAACATAAGGAAGGAAGATTTTAAGGCTAGTTTAGCTCCCCAGTCTGGAGCTGGAAGCATGCAAGCTTCCACCTCTCCTTGTACAATCAACACATTCATGCAATGCTATATGAATACATGAGGCATAACACACTGGTGGAAATATTTTCCTGCTTGCACCAAGGACCAGCTATAGCAGGGGTCAGCAAGGTTTATCTTGCCTGGGCAGATTCACTCCAGCAGAGATCCCTCTGTAGGCCAGATCGTGCGCACGCGTGAACGCGCCCGTCCGCAATTTCCGGCGTCTGTGCAAACACAATTTCCAGCGTCTGCATCTGCGCAGACGTGATTTTCGGCTTCTGCGGCCCCACAGAAGCGAGTCCCCGCTCCGTGCTGGTTTAGAGCAGCGCGTGGGGACTCGCCGGTTCGGGGGAGGCTCGTGGGCCGGTTAAACAAGCCCTGGGGGCCGTTTGTGGCCCATGGGCCTTAGGTTGCCTACCCCTGAGCTATAGCTATTCCCTCACCTTCACTAAACCTCATGGAGACACTGATGCAGAAACTTCTGACATTCAGAAGTTTCCCTTTTTATTCTTTAAAAGCTTAAGGGAACATGTCAAGCAAATTCAGCAGGTCTGATTTATACAGACAAGGAAAAGAAATTCAACAAGTCTATACAGGTCAGATAAGGTTTATGGCTTGGGTAAGCATAAATGGCAGCAATCACACATACTATAAAGATTAACAGGAACCCGAGGAAAGTACTTTTCCATGATAAAGGAATGGAGCACGGAAAGCAATAAATCTCAAGGGTAGGAAAACTGAAGAGTGACGGGAAGGAGAGAAAAAGAGTGCTTGTAAACATTTGCCTTGAAAGCCAATGACTGGAGGTAACTTTTCCAGTACCCACTGAAAGCTGCTGCCAATTCTAAGGAAGTCAGGGCTAGCCAATAAAAATGCAATTTATTCTGGTAAAGCAGCAATGGTCTGAAAGGCATATGCAAGCACACTATCATGTGGAAGTGAAAGAATCGGCTACTCTGAAAGAAGAATAACTCTGCCCCACCCTCACTTTAAAAAGACTAAGTGGCTGCACCTTTGATTAAAAAGCAAGACCGAGTTCCCATGTCTACCCTATGTTAATTAAGTGTGACAATGGGTTGAGCAGCTTCCCTTCAAATACCTCATAAGTCACCACATCTTTAGAAATGAAAATGCTGCAATATCTCCAAGGGCTCAGAGCATATTGGGGAAAGCTTTGCAGGATGATAATTTATATCATGGCCCGCTATTCAGAAAAGTAATTATAATTGGCTCGGATATGAACACAAAAGTCAAAAGCTGGCTGAAGAACCATAAACAAAGGGTAATGAGAAACAGCAACATACCAAACTGCAGGAGGGATGGAGCTCTTGAAACTACAGGGATCACTGTTAGATCCATTGTTTTAAAACATCTTCATTAGTGACCTGGAAAAGGGGGAACTTATCCACAGGGGTGCTTTCAGAAAACACCAAAACAGGAAAAGCAGCAAATGCACATGAGAGCGCAAAATAAAAGCATCAGATAAGAGGCAGAAAATTCAGTGTCATATAATTCACATCCGGTAGGAAGCAATCTAACATAAATATCTGAAGAGAGAAAAATTGAAATACTAATGCTGCAATAGCAAAGTTTCCTGATATGCCGGTATGTCATTGTTACAAGTAATGATTTTAAAATATACAAATGCTGCAATCTTAGAGAGGTTGTTTCGGCCAGATCCTAACCTGTTTACTAAGTAAGTCGCTATGAGTTCAATGGAACTGACTCCCACATAAATCAGGAGTGCATCATCATTTGGTCATCAATTCCAATGTAATGTCAGCTTGTTGTTGTTTAGTCGTTTAGTCGTGTCCGACTCTTCGTGACCCCATGGACCAGAGCACGTCAGGCACTCCTGTCTTCCGCTGCCTCCCGCAGTAATGTCAGCAAGCATAGTTAAATTCAAGCCCCATTACTTAACAAGAAAATCTAGGGGGGGGATCTACATATACAGGAAATCTGATATACAGTGGTACCTCGGGTTACATACGCTTCAGGTTACAGACTCCGCTAACCCAGAAACAGTACCTCGGGTTAAGAACTTTGCTTCAGGATGAGAAAAGAAATCGCGCGGCGGCAGCGCAGCAGCAGTGGGAGGCCCCATTAGCTAAAGTGGTGCTTCAGGTTAAGAACAGTTTCAGGTTAAGAACGGACCTCCCGAACGAATTAAGTACGTAACCAGAGGCAGCACTGTATTAAACTAATATTTAACTAATAGATAGGCATTTACTCCAGACTATGCTGCTGACACCTGGAACTGACAAGGCCAGCAATGGAAATTCCAGTCTTCTCATCTGATCCTTCTCCATCATGTTGCAGAAACTGCTGTGATCTCCTCTGCCTTCCAGAAATCCTAGGGTGCTGTCACTTCCTACTCTCCAACACCCATCCAAGAATTACCTCTTTCTTTCTATATTTGCTGCTAAAACCCTAATTCATGTTCCAGTCACATCTTACGTAGACTACTGCAACCTCCCTCCTTACCAGCCTTTGCTCTCATCATCTCTGCACTTTTCAGGCAAATCAGAATGCTGCTTAGGCTAAAGTTAACTCTTGCCCATTGCTGCAATCCCAAATTTGTCTGCACAGCTTCTGCACTGACTCCCTGACATTTTCTGCACCAACTTCTGTATGCATTACTACTGGCACAAAATGTTTAATACCTCTAATTAATCTAATAATCACGACATCGGGCATTATTGACCAATAATGCACTTACTAATGCCATTCATTCAGAGTTCAATTTAGAATCTGTAGTACAGTTGGCATTTTATAAGGATGTGCATGATTTGAAAGGAAAGCTTAAAAACATGGTTAATATACAATTCTTCTCTGTATCTCACGCCTGGAGAAAAACTTGGAAAGATGCATGTCAAATA